CCCCCACCACCAGTGGCGTCTGCTCTCTACCTGCAGCTGCCTTCTAGCCCCTGTGCATCTCTCCCTGTTCTTGTCCGATCATTCTGATGGAGGGAAGCCCGGTGTGTGAGACCGTGTAAACCCCTGCACGCTGTTGCGTCACCACCACATACAGAGTTACCAGGACAAGATGCAGCTCTTTCCTTTCTCTCATGTTTTCCCCATGGTTATGGGACCACATGAACCCCACTTTCAAGATAATGACCAAAACCTGGGGGGCTTGGTGGAGAAATACTGTCGGCAGGTGCCCAAAATGCAGGTGACAGGAGAAGATGGGAAAATGGGAGTTCTCAAGCCTTCCCTTTCTTTTTTTCCATTTCCAAACCTTGCCTACAATCACCTTGCTTCCCTGGGCTTTCTGCCTGCCTGTCTTTCCTCTACACTGGACACACTGTTTTTCTGTCCTTTGTTTCTAGCAAGACTGAGGATTGGGGATATTTGAATGAAGACGGAGAACTCGGCTTGGCCTACCAAGGCCTAAAACAAGTTGCCAGGTCAAACCCATTCCTCCTCGTGTCTGCTTTGTCCGTCGCATCTGCTGTGTCCACGCTTCATTGTTTTTCAGCTAGAGTGGGTGTAAAGGCACAGGGGATGATTCATGCGAAGTCTGGCTGGTAGCCTCTGGAGCTGCCCGTCTTATCACTGTGCCCAGGCTGTGCGGATGCTTGTTTGGGTCGAAGTGATGGCACTTGGTGGCCCACTTGAACCTTAGAAACCACCTGGTCCAGTGGTTTCCTCCTATAGGATGAGAGCACTGGAGACGCAGATGAGGGGAGCTTATGTGCGGACAGGGTCCACCATGTGCTGCCGCCTGCATGGGGTCAGCCCTGAGTGTTGGCCTGATCTGTGCTATGGGCTCTGCTCCATGTGCAGCCCCAGAGACTGTGCATATGGTGGTCCCATCTTAAGGAATCCCTATAGCTGATGACAACCAACTGTGTGTGGTGTCTACCCTCACAGCACCTTTGTAGGGGTAAGGACAGTGACACTTGGAGAGTCTAAGAAACTTGCAGAAAAAGCAGGAGGTTCACAGTTACCTGGTTCCATCTGAAAGCACAACCTGCACCTGAAACCCACTGGCCTTCAGCAGCGGGTGAGCAATTGGGCAGAGTGGTGAGGCACACACAGAACATGGTACAGTCACGCTGTGCGCTGGTTTTCAGCATGTGGCTTTAGGGGCTGTGGCACAGCTTTGTTCCTTTGAGCCTCCCAACGAGAGTTGGGGGGGTGGGGGTGGGGGTGGTCATCAAATGTTTCCTAGAAGAGGAAGCAGGCTCTGCGAGGTGACAGGAGCATGGCGCCCAGCTCCCCCAGCCTGGCCAGGGCACAGCAGAAGAGGAGCCTGCGCCCTCATGCTGGTCCTCCCTGCTAGTGAGGCAGCAGCAACACAGTCATCTGGTCACAGGCAGACTCTCTCTAGGCTCAGATGGGGCCCCATCACCTGTGAGAAAGGTGACATGCTGGGTTCAGTTTCCTCCTCGGTGGACTGTCATCAGAATAGGACCTTCCTCACAGGGTGATTATGAGGAATGAGCTTAGTGCAGGTGGAGCGGTTAGCACATGCCTGGCATGGAATGAGCATGGAGTGAATACGAGCTGTTACTTCTTCACTGCCCTCGTTGTTATTCAGCAAGATCAGATTCCTGTCCCATGTAGAAGTTTGCTTTAGTCGGGGAGGAAGTCCCGTGTGAAACCAGGGGACTCCTTCGTGCCTGTTAGGTTGGATGTGGCCTAATGAGTAAGCAAAGGAATTCATTAGTAAAGCACAGGCCTGTGCCTCACAACTGGTCTATCCCTAGACTAGCCTGAGGGGTAGGTGGGAACTTTGTACCTTTCACAGAACCCAGGCGTAGTCACTCTGCCTTGGTTTATTCACAGAATAAGAAAGACTCAAGCGGTGAGCGCACACACGTCAGGAGGTGTGTCCTCAGGGATGCGTTCCTAGAACCCAAGTCTCTGGTCTCTCTTGTTAAACTTATGACTTACCAGTGATCACTTTTTATATATTGTAACTAACAGATACTATCTAAATGCTGTATGTCAGCTAAAATGCCGATTTAATTACACAGTTATCCTTCACAATCTTCACGTTGTTATTTTCCTTTGGTAATACTACCCGTGGCGAATGGGTGAATTCCTCGTTGCTTCGTTTGTGTAACCTTGTTGAGAAGCCAAGGGGAGCCAGGCATCCCCCCTCAGGCCACTACAGACCTGACTTGGCTCCTTGAGATGTGGGTGTTTCCATCTTCAGCATCAACTTTACCCTCTCTGGGCTGCCTTGTAGGTGTGCTCCCTCCTCTCCCGTCTTATCACCTCCTGAACCAATGAGACTGCAATAAATGTGGTGCCTATCTCCTCCCTGCTTCCAGGGCCCCCAAGCTCTCATAGCTGTCCCCCAGGCACCCGCCAGTCCCTGACTCCTGCCAAACTCTGGCCATACTCTTTATCTGCACCCCTGGAAGAGCCTGGGGTGACTTTTCCCCATGTGGACCAAGTCAGAAAGTTTATACCCTGCCTTTCTTGGGAGTCTGCTGCCATGGCTTAGAGAGAGGTTCGAGTAGTTAAGTCGAGGAAGACAGCACTATAGTCCTCTTAGCAGTTAACTTCCTGGAGAGGACTCGACACTCTCATCCTCGTTAATTCCCTGCGTTCTAATTGTCCAGGTAACTGGCACCCCCTGGTCTTGTGCCTTTTGGACTCAGACTTAGGAAACTTCTCCCCAGTCTTTTCCAGACCTTCTCTGGGTCTCTCTGCTTCTTGTCATGACACCATTTGATCTTAAACCGCCCCTCCCCCCCAGATCATTTGCAAATAGTCTTAGTTTCTTGTTTTGCACTGGAGCGGAGCTGTACTTAAAAATTGTGTATATGAGAAAAAAATCAGGGGAGGAATGATGAAGATAAGTAGGAAAGGGGCTAATATTTTGCCTTTCTGAAACTCGTGGAGAATCCACTATACAAAAAATATGCAAATATATCTTTAGTTCAGTGTACTAGAGTTTTTTCCTAAGGAGATTCTAGTGGACTTTGAGGCAGATGTGTGGATCTTTATTAAAAGATCTTTATTTAAAAGATACTTTGAGGCTCAGAGCCCATAGCACAGTGGTTACAGCACCAGCCACATACACCAAGGCTGGCAGGTTCAAGCCCAGCCCAGGCTAGCTAAACAATGACAAAACAAAAAATACCTGGGCATTGTGGCAGGCACCTGAAGTCCCAGCTACTTGGAAGGCTGAGGCAACATAATCGCTTAAGCCCAAGAATTTGAGGTTGCTGTGAGCTGTGACACCATAGCACTCTACTAGGGTGACATAGTAGCACTCTGTCTCAAAAATAAATAAATATATTTTAAGAAATTTATTTCTACTAATAAAATTTGACATGGATGCAGTCTCTCAATCCCAAACCAATACACTGCTCACAGAGTGAGGAACAAAGGTTGAGAAAAAGGCCTAAGACCAGGGTGCCTTTGGCCTTGGTTTCCTGTCGTCTGAGAGGACGGCAGTTTGGCCTGCTTGCCTGGCGGTATCCCCAGCATCTGTTCCCCTGCTGCGTTCCCCTGCCGTTAGGGATGTGTGGTGCTGCTGCTGTGTGCTTGGCTGTTCCCCTGTTGTGTTCCTGTCTGTGGCCCCTCACTTGGGAGCACTGACCTGGGCCACCTGGTCATATGTCCTCTGTCCTCTGTCCCTTGTCCAGGTTGCTGGAGGCACAGCTGCAGGCCCAGAGCCTAGAGCACGAGGAGGTGGTAGAGGGTCTTAAGGGCCAGCTGGAGGCCCTCAAGGAGGAGATGGACAAACAGCAGCAGACCTTCTGCCAGACGCTGCTGCTCTCCCCAGAGGCCCAGGTGGAGTTTGGTGTCCAGCAGGAGCTTTCCCGGCTGACCAATGAGAATCTGGTGAGTAGCCACACCTAGTGGATCCCAGCTCTTAGAATTCACTTTCTAAAAGAAAATGGGATTGAGGATGGCCTTAGCGCTATATCAGGAG